AAAAAAGTTGGGACAGGTCAACAAATAGCTGGCTAAGTAAGTGGTACTAACAAGGAAGAGCTGGGAGAACATTTTGCAACTAATTAAGTAAATTGGCAACTGGCCAGTAAGATGATTGGCTATAAAAAGAGCATCTTAGTGAGTCAGAGTGTCTGAGAAGTAAAGATGGGCAGAGGTTCACCAATTTGTGTCTAAAAATGGTCGAATAATTTCAGAATAATGTTCCTCAATGTAAAATTGCAAAGACTTTAAATATATCCTCATCTACAGTGCATAATATCATTGAAATAATCTGAGAATCTGGAGAAATCTCTGTGCACAAGGAACAAAACTGAAACACAATACTGGATGCCCATAATCTTGGGGCCCACAAACGGCACTGCATTAAAAACTGGCATGATTCTGTGATGGACATCACTAAATAGGCTCAGAAATACTTCCAAAACTCACTGTCTGTGAACACAGTTTGCCTTGCTATCCAAAAATGTAAGTTAAAGCTCTATCATTCAAAGAAGAAGCCATATCTGAAAATGATCCAGGAATGCCGCCATCTTCTCTGGCACAAAGCTCATTTAAAATGGTCTGTCGCAAAGTGGAAAACTGTTCTGTGGTCAGACAATTCGAGATTTGACATTCTTATTGTTCTCTGGACTAAACAGGAGGGACCTTCTGGCTTGTTATCAGCTCTCAGTTCAAAAGCCTGCATCTCTAATGGTATATGTGGGTGCATTAATGCGTATGGAATGTACAGCTTGCACATCTGGAATGGCACCATCAATGCTGAAAGATATTTCCAGGTTTTTTAGCAGCATATGCTCCCATCCAGACAATGTATTTTTTTAGTGAAGACCTTACATATTTCAGCAGGACAACGCTGAACCGAATTAGGTCCATGGCTTCATAGTAGAAGAGTCTGGGTGCTTAACTGGCCTGCCTGCAGTCCGGACCTTTCACCAATTGAAAATATTTGGCGCATCTCGAAGCAAAAAATATGACAAAAGAAGATCCAGGACTGTTGAGTAGGAAATGTCCTATATAAGGCAAGAATGGGACAACATTCCTCTCCCAAAACTTCAGCAAATGGTTTCCTCAGTTCCCAGACCTTTACAGAGTGTTGTTACAAGAAGAGGGAAGGCTACAATGTGGTAAACATGGCCCTGTCCCAACTTTTTTGAGACGTGTTGCTGCCATCAATTTTAAAATAACTATTTATTTATTTTTTTCTGAAAAAATATGTATGGTTGTATGCTCCTACTTGAATAATGTTCACAGCTATTTCTCTTACTGATCCCGAGCTGTCTTATGTTCATAAACAATAAAAAAAAATGGTACATTTTTCTCAAGTTAAACATTCAGTATATTTTCAATTTTCTATTGTGAGTAAAATCTGGGTTTATAAGATTTGACACAGTGTCCCAAGTTTTTGGGAATTAAGGTTGTATTATTTCAGAAACTGGTATTTTTACCTTCTCTCCATCATTTTCTGACACTTCTTTCTTGTTCATTCCCATAATATGAAACAGGATGGTAGCAGTAGAGAGGCTGAGTGGTAAACCACTTTGCCTGTTAAAGGCAAAGCAAAAGGCTTGCTTTAATCTCCTATCCCTAGCAGCATTTGGTTATCTCTGGTTCCCTTATGGCTACTAGCAGACCTAAAGTGGCTTTGCTAGGAGGAGTAAGCAAAGTTAGAAGGAAGACTAGTATAGAGGTCCAGAATGCACCACAAAGGTACAGAAATAATAACCAAGGGGTTTGCTGGCATGGAACTCACAGTACATTCAATAAATTAAGCAAAAGAAATTAAATTGAATTTGAAAGAAAAGAAAAACAAAAGATTGCTCTTTAAGGTTCAGCAACTAGGTAAAAGGTTTTACGTGTACAGTAGGGGCAAACACTGCAAAACAAGGCACAGATGTATATACTCTGACTGTGTGTTGTGATGACATTAATTTTCAGTGCAATTCCAGGTAAAAGTTTCTTCCTTTTCAGTTTAAATGCTCAAGCTTTAACCTGTAGCTTCTTCTTTAGACCCTATACCCAGGTATCTGGTTAATTTGCGTTTTCTATATTTTCTGTACCGCACTGTACATAATCAATTATTTAGGCTCAGTACACCCTAGGAAATCTCCTCCTGTGTTTCCTGGAGCCTATGTAGGGGTATTCTACCCTCCTTTTTCCTTACTCACACATTTATTACACTTGAGTGTATTGGTGTTTTTCCCTAAATATGGAACTGTTTATAGGCAGCTGCTCAAAGATATCAGGACTGCAGAATTCACTATTATGTCCACATTGGTGCTCCTTGTCTTCCTAGCTACCCTATCATGGCATGCTTATTAGATTCTCACAAAACATTTTCTGTCTCTGTTATTCCGGCAGTTCCTGTTATACTGAATTATCTTTTCTAATTTTTTGAGGAATTCAGGTACTAACCACTTCACCGCCTTTTTGGGATTATAGGATTGATAGGAACTCCATGAACATACCCCCTTTTCATACTGTGCCTCAGTTCTATTTTGCCTTACAACGTCTTGGAAACATCCATCTTATTACATCTGTTCTTCCCTAGAAGGTCAACAGACACAGCACTCTGTTAACAGCAGAGTTCCCTGAGGTGGAGATTCTTATGGGACTTTTTGTTAGAAGAAAAAACACCTTTCTCTCCCATAGCAAACTGATTATCCAATTTGTAATCACACAGGTTTTATTGTGACTTTCACACTTTATTTATAACTTATTGGTGTGAGTTTGATGATCTCCTTCTCATCCTTTTCGTTCTGATGTCCCCATACATCTATTGCATTACAATATCCGGATCGCCTTGGTATGCGATCCGCGCCAGTCACAATTAGGCAGCGGCAGCCAATAAACAGATAGGTTAGACGGCTGCTTCCTCCTCGCTAGGACCCCGGGAGGCCCCTGCAAGCGACCGTCTAATCTGCCTGTTTAGAGGTCAGTGCCGCTGCCTGATTGTGACCGGCCGGACTACAGAGGCGATCCGGGACGTTCGGGTCCCCCGTGAGAGCCGTACAAGTCCTATACAACAGGCCCTTTGAGGGTAACCATACTGCTGATGCGGCCCTCGATGAATTTGAGTTTGCCACCCCTGCTATAACCTCACTTAGCCTTTTCTTTTATATACGTATATAGGTGTGTGGATCTTCCACCTCTTTCTTAAAAGAGACTTGGTACTCTGCCCTTTTTGTTTTACATCAAAGCTTTCCTTCCCTGTCTCTCTTTTTAAAGTACTATTGAGAGTACTATTATATCATGGATCTTCCTTTCCCTGAAGTCAAAGGACCCCCCGCTATTCACTGGTTGGTCTTTTGATACTATGTTTCCTTTCATTGAGGTCACGGGACTTTGCAAAGTAAAGGCTTCAGCCTTTACTTTGCAAAAATTATTGTTTTGTTGATCATTTTTGCTATTGGTCTGTTTTTTTTTTTCTACCTGTTTTTTCATATGGTGGTTGCTCTCCATTATTGTTGAGCTCCATAATTCTTCCAGATTGGCAGTTCCAGAGTAGGGCTACCTACCCTGCCCAGCTTCTTGGTGCCTTTTTTTTTATTGATAGCAATTTTCATATTTGCACCCCTTTTTTTCATCTAGCCTTGTTCAGGCATCAATTTCTTCAGATATTTTTCACATCTATTGTATTTCTGGGTGGCTGTTGCCTACTTCTCAGTTGGACTGCTTTTTAGATGACCATATGCCAAAAAATTATTATACCGCTCAATGAAAGATAAAGAAAATAAGATTTTAGTACTTGCTGTAAAATCCTCCTTTTTTTTTTTTGTCTATTGAGAGGCTGTGTCCTTCAATGGACTTCAAGAAAAAGATTTTAACAAGTACAACAAACTTTTTTTTTCCCCTCAAGCTAAGTACATTTTCATTTTACAAGTATCTAGAAATTCCTGTTGCTTCTGCTAGTAACCTTTTATCCTTTATACACTAAGTTGAAATCCCAAACAATGTTATCAGCCTTCCCAGATATCTTTTGTGCACTACAAAACAACTCCCATTTTATGAAATTGAGATGAGGAGAGGGAGAGGTGTAAGTGAGTATTGTTACCCAAGAAAGGGGG